TTACCTACCATCCTCCTTTCCACGCCTACTCCCACATGTCTATTTCATGTACGCGGCTGGTTCAACTGTGTCCCTGGACTGTGCCCCGCGTGATTTGGCTGTATGTTCATGCAGCGCGTTATGAATGTACTATTTAAAAAACAGTCTACACGTGACCGGCGCTTACCTCCGCCGTCTAGCCACCGCTGCAGCAATCGAGACTCCTTTTTGGGAAAATGTTCTAGATGATACGATATCTCAGGTTTAGGGGAGGCTCCTACGCGCGAATAAAAGTCGCTCCTAGTAGTCCGTCCCCCCAAACTCAACCACAATGTCCAAAGGAAACGTTCCAAACTCTCCAAACCATAATCCTCATGCTTCAAATGTGCCCGAAGCACTCCGGAGCGCGCAAGGTGAGTTCAACTTACTGCTGGTTTTGCGCCAATCTTACCTTGGGTTCTGGAGCCCCGCCTGGCTCCGCTCGCGCACCCGGCCCCGCTCGCGCGCCACCTCTCAAGGACGAAATGCTATTTGATGGAATAGCTCTCCATAGGAGCACTCCCGGCTGGCTCGACGCATTTGATGAGATGACCGATGAGGATATTCTGGCGTGCGCAGAACGCGAAAACGTAAGCGGTACATGTCTTCCGTAACTAGATGTTGACTTTGGGCATCAAGTATCGTTCCCCCCACCTAGAAGAGTATCTCCCACACTTTCGAAAGATGCTTAGTCTGGCGAAAACCTCAATCAAGGACGGCAAGGTGGTCAATAAGCACGCGTCCAAGCCGTTGGATGAAGTTGCAAAGGAGGTGCTTACGGAGAAAGTTAAGGCTTATATGGATGAGATCAGGCGTGGGATAAACGAGGACGATTTACCGGATACTCTTCCTGACCTCGAGGCAGTGTTATTCCCCGACGGAGAGGAAGGCAACTAGGGAGACACGGACTGGGCCCTGTTTGTAGATTGTGTCCTGTACTTTCAACGTCTGAAAGAATGTATGCGTTCGAGTGGTCTCAGAAGCCCTGGGTGGCACTGGTTGCTTTGTTTGTGCCACGCTCGCCACTTGTAACACCCCGCCATGAGCGATCTTATTCTGGAGCTTGAGCAATGGTTCGAGCAACAAAGCCAGAAAAGGCGCAAATATAAACCGCCACCCAAACAATTCGTTCCCCAAACTCGACCGCCATGTCCAAAAACAATGCCCCAAACCATAGCCCCTGTGCTTCAAAGGCGCCCGAAGCACTCCAGAACGCGGATGGTGAGTTTAATTTACTGATGATTTCACGCCAATCTCACCCTCGTAGATTCCGAAGCCCCACCCGGCCCCGCTCGCGCGCCACCTCTCAAGAATAACACAACCGTGAGCCCCTCCTCGTTTAAAAACGCCTCACTAACTATTTATCTTCTAGAAGGAAAATCGACTCAGAAATCGACTCGGAGTGGCAAGGCGACCTCCGAGGCGAACGGCAAGAAAAAAAGGTCGTCGAATCAGGCATGAAACACGAACGTCCTACGCCAGCTGCTGAGCTCACCACCTCTCTAGATAGCAGCGACGAAGAGCCTACCGCGGGGGATGGTGAGTGCTGCCGTAAATAAAGCGCATACGTCCTCTCATTTCACCTCTACACTATGAAGACGGCGGAGACGATGAAGACGAAAAAGGTAGGCTTGTATATTATTCGTAGCGTAACATTCTAACATCTGCCACTAGACGAAGTCAAGCCAAAGGGGAGAAAGACTAAGCGTGGTTAGTATTATTGCCTAGCCACGGCCATTCGCTCACCCATTATAGCAGGCAAGCCCAACCCTCGGACGTCTCGTGAAATCAAAATAGCGTCTGGCAACTTCAAGAGCAAAAAGGCGAACCTTATAATGCTTGCCACCATCAAGAGCCGCGCAGACCGTGAGGCCGCGATTGCCCGGAAGGAGGCCGACGATATGGAGCAACGCCGATCGGAGGTGTATGCCGCGTACGAAGATAAGCTCTCCGACCGGGACCGCGCGCTTCTTAGATTAGAAATGGCCCGGTTCTCTCCAGAGGTTCAGAAGAAGCAGGAGACAATCAATTCACTGGAGGCGCGGGTTGCCTATCTGGAATACTTACTCAAGAAAGCGAAGAAAAAAAAGGATAAGGCGGAGAATAATAGTTCAATGTTTGTACGCCTCCAGGTCCCAGAGACCAAGGGCCTGTAAGCGACCATGTTATCTGACTGATTTTCTGAATCTCACCTGCTTTACCTATAGCGCGCTCGAGGAGATAGACCTTACTTTCGGAGTGAGTTAACACGCGTCGTCCACTGGTTCCCGCTAACTCTATTGCCAGGATTCGTCCGGTACCGTGACTACTAACCGCGAGCGTATGACTGAGATCTCTTAGCGGATTGGACTGGCTGCCCTCACTGGCAGCTCCGAGGGTGTTCATAAGCAGGACATCAGCGATGAGAAAGAGAGCGTAGAGCACTCGGGTTGAAACGAGCTTGAAACAAGGTGCATGCGCGGGAGTTGTGTACGAATAGTCCAGGAATTATGCCTTTCTCTCCCAACTGTGAACCTTCAAGCTACTTATTTGAGCCCAGTAGTGCAAGTGGTTGAGAGACTATACCCATGCGCGAGGGATATGGTCGTAGCCTGCGGGAGGCGAAATACGCTGGTTAGTGTGACCAACCACTGCCAACGGTTCAAGCTAAACGACTAAACGATAAATACACGCAGTGCGAATAGAGATGCATGAATAGGCACGAAGCCAGGCGCGACTAATACATAAATGAAGGGATAGTAGCGGGGTGCGGATCGAGTCGATCCAGGACGGGCGATTCCGACAGGAGCAGACAATTTACGGTGCAGTCGCTCACCACAACCGGGATGTGGGCTCTTCTGCTCGAGCAACTAACTAACTATAAGATCTATTGTATGCACGATAAAATGTGTCCACCGTACGTAGTCTAGGCCGCTCTCATCTTTCTTCTACCATTTCATCCTCCTCTCCTTCTTCGTACAGGCAATGGTACGGTGGCCGCTCACTTACTAACCTCGGCATGATTAGGACAAGATATGTTTCTGCCGTCAACACATCAATGTCATAATATGAGGTTTCTAGCCACTACAGAGCGAGTTACGTGGTCACCTTTTCAGGAGGCGCTCCCCTCAT